AACAGAAAATCAGTAATGCCTTTACTGTGCAAAGTATATTCTATGTCAACAAGAAATTGGCACCTGCGACACAGCCAAGTACAAAAATCCTGTTTGTCCAGAGCAGAATTTATCTTGTGTAAAAACTTTTGTGCCTGGTCTAAATCACTCTCTCTCTCTCTCTCTCTCTCTCTCTCTCTCTCTCTCTCTCCTCCTTCCCTCCTTCCCTTCCCCCCTCACACACACCCACACTCAAACATACATACATGTGAATGATACCATGTGAACCATTTACAATTAACCACATCAAAAACCCAATCAAAAACAAAACTTTAAAAGGTAATGATAATGTGATTTTTATTTGCATTTTTAAACTTAACTGTATATTCTCAATTTTCTACAAGTTATATTTTATTTTAATAGCAAGCTGTTAAGCTATGTAAATTCTTAATAGAGAAAGGCACATAGATACATACAGAGAGGGGGGATTATCTGATATTCCCTTTTTCTGACATTCACTTACTGGCTGTATGATCTTTACAATATTATCACCTTTTGCCTCAGTCGCTTCATGTATAAATGGAGATAATGAAATTTACCACTTTAGAGCATTGTTCAAGGGACTGATGAAATAAAAAGTTTACCACAGCACGGCAAACATCAGCAATCATTGTTCCTCTAACTGCTTCTCCTTGCAAAGGCTTTTTTAGCAGAATGAACAATGAGAGACCAAAGAGCTCTTGATACAGTTTCTACATAAAAAAATTTCTGAGTCTGTTTTCAATAAAACCACTAAGAAATAATTACATCTATTCATATATCTAATTACTGTGCCAACACATTCCCAGATGGATTGCAAATTTCTGTTACTGCTTTTATTTCCCACTACCAAGTACATTCTAGCAGTCAGCACTGACAGTGATGGACTCCAGGTGATGTTTAATTACACACTGCCAAGCACCATGTTACTAGCATTTGCATCCCTCTGGAAGAATATGTTGAGTGTAGTAACAGATGATCCTTCACTCAGCTTTGGATGTGACATGAAGACTCTTACCTTTACTCAATTCCATTCTAGTTTTATGAATTTGAAATATTTTTGTTTACTCTTAGAATAGATGTTGCCAATGTTATTTCTATTTTTCTAAATTGCATTAAACTTAATGAAAACATTTTGAAATTATAAGCTAGAATATACACAATTATAATTGTTGACTCAATGAAAATAATGAAACTTCATTAGTTGTTCTAAATTTCAATACTGTTTCATTATTTTGATATAGGCATCCATGGTTAGATTTATTCTATATAACCCACCATCTCTAGAAAAAACTGGAGAATTGAGGATTATTTTTCTTATTCATAACATTTTTTCTAAACAAATTGTTCAAGTATTTTAAGTTATAGGAAAAGAAAATTGAACATACTCACTCTCTTAAATATTTTGATGCATCCACAATATCACAAGGCAATTTACAGAATAAAATATATTTGATGTAAATATTAGTTGAAGAGTTTACCAAGTATGTATAGATAATCAAATCTGATCTAACTAGAACATGATCTGTTTATTGAGGTATGTTTGGTATAATAAGTTACAGGCAAAAAGTGGTACTGAATGAGTAAAAAATACGAAAAACAGAAATTTAAAAAGAATGATGCATATTATCTATGCGTACACTGGGCATATCTGATATTTGTACTGCCAAAGTCAGTGACTACATGACTTCTGGGCTCACCACTGGAGAGCTATTTGATGATTGCAAAATATCTAGAGGATTTTGCATGAGTTCTCTATCATATCATTAAGACTTCATAATTCTCATAACTAGAAGTCATAACCCCAAACTGTGGTTCTAAATAGAATTATTACTATTTCAAAGATGGAATCTGAGTGGCCAAAAAAGAAATGAGGATTTGAAAACATAAGCATTTTTTGAAATTAGGAAATCCAAAAACTCAGTAAACAATTATCTGTCCAATTCTTAATTTCTGATTTTTAAAATTTTCCAGGCTTTATAGAGAATCTCATTTGGTTCTAGTCATTGTTAAAAGTAAAAACAAAAACAAAACAAAAACAAAAAACAAAAAACAGAAAGTAACTGAATTCAATGTCCCTACTTAGGAATTCAATAACCACCCTGTACCACAGAGTAATTCTTGAAATTTAAAGTATGGCAGTATTATTTTCTTTAAAGGGCAGACATTTGGGTAAGCAGAAAAAAAACTGAGAAAAAGAATCTTAAGTGGAGAGTGTGAAAGTGAGGAGAGGGGACAGGAGAAGACTAGAGAGACTAATTTCCATAAACTTTGTTAAACTGTAGGTCCTTCTGTGACAATGGTGGGCTATTGGGATAGCAGATTCCTCCTTCCTCATCTAGCCCTTTGATCTTCACCACGTCCTACAAAAGGGTAGTTATTGTCAAAGGTTCAAACTATCTATACTGCCCAAAGAATCTTCTGGGAGTGTCTTACTATGCTCCTAAGTGAATGCTTTTGGCTCTCAGTCTGGCTGTCCATACACAGCAAATGACATAATGATACTGGGCATCCTCTTAAATGTGCAGCTGAGGTCAGCAATGAAAAGAGAAAAGCCAATTAGCATGAACACTGTGCAGACACTTGCTCTGTGGTGTCATGGTTGTCATGGAGATCATCCCTGTTGATTCCAGGCCTGTTTTGCTATGTGCATCAATTCCCTGCTTCCCTGAACTCATGTCACAGATCAGGGATCTAACTTTAC